GTGATTTCGGGCTGAGGATGATCACATGTGGGTGTGTCTGTGACTGTGTCGTTTGTGAGTGTGTGTTGCGTGATGTCGGGCTTAGGATCCTCACATGTGGGTGTGTCTGTGACTGGGGAGTTGGTGTGTGGATGTATGATTGCGGGCTTTGGAGGTGCATGTGGGGGTGTGTCTGTGACTGTGTCGTTTGTGACTGTGTGTTGTGTGATGTCGGTCTTAGGATCCGCACATGTGGGTGTGTCTGTGACTGCTTTACATGTGGGTACGTTCGTGACCGCGGCACATGTGGGTATGTCCGTGACTGTGTCACCGGAGCCTGGTGGTTGTGTGATTTCGGGCTGAGGATGATCACATGTGGGTGTGTCTGTGACTGCTTTGCATGTGGGTAGGTGCGTGACTGTGTGGTCTGTGGGTGTGTCTGTGACTGGGGCGTTGGTGTGTGGATGTATGATGACGGGCTGAGGATGATCACATGTGGGTGTGTCTGTGACTGCGTTACCGGAGCCTGGTGGTTGTGTGATTTCGGGCGTAGGATCAGCACATGTGGGTGTGTCTGTGACTGCGTTACCGGAGCCTGGTGTTTGTGTGATTGCGAGCTCAGGAGCAGCACAGGTGGGTGTGTGTGTGGCTGGAACGGGGGCGTCGCAGGTGGGATGACGGGCGCGGTAATGACGCGGTCGGTCTGCGTTGGCTGAAACATGGGTCCCTGGAGGATCTTGGTCTGACGTAGAAACACCCAAGATGTTGTTATTCGTGTCGTCGTCCCGCAGCAAATCCTGCGCAAACTCCGGTGCAAACTGCTTCACTACAATCTGCAAATAGTCCTCTTTGACGTTTTCCCAATCTGTCGCTTCACATTGGTTGAGCACTTCTAAGTGTAGTTCGATAATCGTGCGTGTATGCACGCGTGGGGGGCGTGCGCTACCGGATGTGGACGGAGGTTGCCTATCCCTAATCATTTTGTACCCGTAATCGGGTGGCGGCGCGCCGCCGCGTTGTAGATGGTCCAATATTTCGTCGTCGAGTGGCGGTGACGGCACGTCACGAACGGTTCGATATGTTCGTCGGCGTTTTTGTCCGAGGAAGGCAAAGTACTACACAAAAAAAGGGGGGTAAAGAGGAGGGTGAGGACGGTAGGATAAAAGGAATGAACGCGGGTGTAGGGGCATATTGTTTAGAACGATCATATATGGGAGCCGGTTGGGATGTTCTAAGGTATAAAAATGCTGCACATGCGGCATGCCCGGATTGCCGTATATACTTACCTTCCAAAGGGAATAACCAAGAACGGCCACGATGACGGAAGCGAGAAATAACAGCACGGGAGTAGTGGCGGTAAGGACCGTGCCGGTTAGGTCAGGTGGGTAGGGGCCGCTGCCATCTGTAGTTTCACCTGGGATTTTGTCCTCTGGGCCAGGTAAAGGACCTGATTGTGCTGGTTGCCCATTTAATCCATCGCTTGGCGTCCATAGTGCATGGGATCCGCCAGGATTACCTGTTCCGGCCGCACCAGGAGTATGTAGGTCGAGACCGCTGAAATCCCCCGTGGAAACGGTTCCCGTACCATCACCACCTCCCTTTCCTGCCCCACCAGGCACTCCATCCGCCAAATCAGCATCACTGAAACTGCCACTACTACCCGATTGAGTTGGGCTCGTGGTTGGTGGTTTTGGTTTGGGTGGATTGAGAGGAGGGGGTTCATCGTTACCGCCGTCGATGACGGAACCTCCACCACTGTTACCGGGTTCACCATGTTTACCCGCTGGACCGGAAGGACCGGTTTCACCGTCCTGCGCTGGGGAACCTGAAGCACCCGTTGTACCCTTTGCACCGGATTCACGTGATGGAGCTGTTGGTGTTGATTCTGATGGTGCTGATGCGGGTGCTTCCGTTGATTGGGCGCCTGCTCCATCCTTACTCCAGCTATCCTTCTCAGTATCTTGACCTGCAAATGTGGAGCAGAAGGAGGAAACATGTCGAAGGCAACTGAAGTTTTGTGGGGTGGTCGGCACCATTGGTGCCGCGGGGACGGCGGGCCAGGAGAAGAACGGGGGTAGGGTGCCACCCGGGAACAGACACTCTCTGTCGCCGACACACAACACAACACAACACACAGACACACAGTGTGTGTGTCTGTGTCTGTCGACGTCTACCTGTCTACGTCGACATCTACCGGTCGACCCATCGCTCTACCTGCCGTGGTTGTCTCTCTCCCCCCGTCGCTCAGGGCTCCGCTCATTATCATTCGACGTGTGGTTTCTCTCGCTCCGTGTTGTCGCTCCCGCTGTGGCGCCGGAAAAGTTGTTTCTTTTTTTTTTTTTTTTCTTGCGCTAATAGTGCACGGGACATACACGCACAGGATGTGTGACTGCACCCCGCGGTGCATGTTACTCTCGACTGGGGAAGTACCCTCCGGAGTCTCTGGACTATTACTACCTGAGCAATCCTTGGGGTCCGAAGAAGGGTCGAACGTGACAGACACACTTAAGATACCTTCCCCTACTTCTTTCTCATGGGATCCTGTGGTTACACCGCATGCTGACTTAGACTTCTTACCTGCTTCTCCTGCGCCTCCTGTAGATTTACTATCACCCTTATCCCGCTGTTTCCCATCTTGCCCCGGTTGTGACTGCTGTGGTGGAGGTGGTGGTACGGGTGGCGGCGCTGAAGGTGGTGGTTGCGCAACTTCCTCCGATCCTGCTACTGTGGCAGGTGTGGACATTGTTGTAGTTTTCCCTGCTTCTTGTGTTTTTTCTTTTGGTTCTTCTGCTGCCGTTTGGCCTAACAATGATGGTAATATAGGAACATATGGGTGTGTAACACGTGCCGGATGAATGGAGAGATGCAGTGGGTCGAGGTACGACTCGGTGGACTGCGATGGACTGGGTCACGCGGCAGCAAGCGCACGGCGAGATGAACTCGGTCGACTGAGTCGTGGTGGATGGTAGTCGTACACTTTTATGTTGTTGTCGCCGTCATCTCGTCCGTCTGCACCGCCCGTCGCCGCTGCCGTCGTGTACGCCACTGTGCTCGGCTCAACGAACGGGGTGATGTTGCGCACCGCGCTGTTGGTTGTTCCCGTGTCCGTGTTTGTGGTGGAGGCACCCGTGCGGTCAGTAGTCGGCCGTGTATTCATAGTGGCCGTATGTTCTTGTTATGCGCATTCGTACCATTCATGTGCTTACCTGCTAGTTCTTGAATTTTCTGTTCCACTAGCACCTTAACCTTTTCAATAGTTTTCACCGCCTCCTTCGTTAGTTTCTCCTCGTCTTTCTTTATTTCAGGGATTTGCGTTGCGTCCACCTCTTTCGGGTTATCCATCTTCATCTTGTCCACTGTATACTCCTTCCACTTCATATTACAGTCTGCCCCCCCTTCTATGTGCTCCATGCCTTCCAATATGTTGGTTTGCTGCAATAACCATTCTACTATTTTCAAATTTACTGCGTCGACGTGGTGTTTATTATGTCCATACCCACACATTGTGCACTTCCCTTCCATTACAGGGCCCCCCAGTCCTCCGTGTCCATCTTGCTCGGGACTCTTCATCTGCTTAAATGCTATACCGGCATATTCTGTACCTCTTCTCCACTTTTCTTGCTGTGGACAATACTTATGTCTCAGTAGGTGTCCAAATACATTCACTACTTCACATCTTAGGCTATTCTCTTCTTCCTCATTCATGTGCACGCCGGCGTTCCTATCCTGTGTTTTTGTACCCCACCCATTTGCAAAGCCTAATGCAAGAGTCATGAATCTACATCGTACTACGTCCGCCACTTTTTGGTCCACGAAATGAACCACACCTGTCGTTATATCATTCCAGCCCACATTATAACAGTTGGCACCATACGCCTCCTCGTGCCTTTTCTTTTCATCCATATATGTCTTAAAATCATCCAACACTTTATGCAATTTTTGCAGATGGTTTTTCTGTATTATGTACATGAAAATAGAGGGATACGTATGTTCACCTGTCAAGCACAATGCAATGTCCGGAAACATGCACTGTGTTATATATGCATTCACCCTATGGACCAGGTCTACGGTTCTCTATGCCTGTTTATTCCTCCTTCTTGTTCTTTCCGTGCTCACTGTCCACGCGAACTTACATTAGGAGGAGACACCACGTACACTGGCTTATGCTTCCACTCCGATAATCTGTCCCCTTGACATTCCCCTGCTGGGGCAGTCTTCGTTCCTTCCTTCGGTCCGGCAGCGGCAGCACCAGACTTACCATTACTACCACTACCACCAGATGATGTCGTCGTCGTCCCACTTCCCGATGACGGTGGTGATGCCGGTTTCGCCGCTACTGGTTTGGCCGCGGCGGGTGGTGGTCGTCCGTGTTCCCCTTGTCCTGTGTTCGCTGGAAGGAAGAAGAGGAAGAAGGATGAAAAGATGATAGAGGAGAACTGGTGGACAGAGGTGGTGGTCGGCGGGGCGGCCTGTTCGGATGCGTCGGGTTAGGTGGCCGGTAGCAGTACACTTATTTGTTGCCGTTCTTCACCGCCGCCGCTCCATCCATCGGCTGTTGCCCCTGGTCCCAGTGTTCAATTCCACGTTTTCCTTGCTCCCGAATTTTCATGAATATTGCTCCTGCATGCCTCCTGATGATTACTCATTCTACTCAGTATGCTCTTACCATTGAAATGTGCTTTGCCTTGACTTCCTGCACATTGAGTAGCGTGTATCCCTGTGTGCGCCTTTTCTGCCTCTGCCCGCATGTCCTGTTTCCTCTGTGTCCAGTCCTGTCCTGAACATCGCGCACCGAATGCGGCGTTCTTCACTCTGTCCGTAACAATACTATCGTGCAACATCCATTGCGTAATTTTCGATTCAGGAATAAAACCCCCTACGCATGTATTCCCAAATTCCCAATGCACACACTGCCTGCTTCTGCTTGGTCTTCCTGTTAGCATTTCATTTACATGTCCGTCCACGGCGTTCAGTGCATGGTCGCGAATACGCTGCTCCCAGCATGCCAGCTGCATTATTTTCTGTATATATACACTTCCTATTATACATTTCATTCCTTCTTCTAACTGGTTCATACTTGTGTTACCCCCTCCTTCATGGACTATTGAACCATCACCGTTTAAACCTTCTATGTAGAACATTAACCTTAGTAGTAATGCGCACATTTTTTTCTGCTTCTCAGCGAAATTTACGCCATTGTGCCCCTCCACCTGACCACACATTATTTCTGGTATGCCGTCGTCCTCATCCTTGTCCCCTTTCATATTCTTCGCAATCTCATTTTTCAATTTGTCCATTTTATCCCACATCGCTTTCTGTTTTGTGCAAAATGAACGGGATGAACATACATTTATATATATATAGCTTATACCGTCTCCCTTGTTGCTCGTGCATGGAACATTATACCACATATGCATTGTTCTATATACATGGTACCCCACACCACGTTGCATTCGTTTTACCCCTATATGCCTCCACCATATTTTTGTGCACTTACATTAATTTGTGTGTCTGTCTGGGAGCCTCCCGCTCCATACTGTTGGACCCACGTTACCCTTAGCTTTGAAATAAAGTCCTTACCTTCCGCACTTCTCCATAATACATCCTACATTAAGAATAGAAAAAGGAAAAGAGAAGAAATAAATAAATAAAGAGAAGGGGATTATGCCATGTTGCAATGTACACCACATGGGCCCGTCCGCCGTGTCCAAACTATACTCACTCCCCTTTAATAAAAAAATTTGTGTACCCAATTACTCATGCTGCGCGTTCCCCATACTTTTCGTGTGTTATAATTCAACTTACATCATCCGCCATGGGCTTGTCTCTACTTTTGGCGTCTATGTCTATTGGTGATGTTGCCTAGGGTCGCAGCTGCGTTTGCTCGGAGAGACAATCTCTGCTCCTTCCTTCCTACACTCGGCCACTTCGTCGAATCCGGCTCACACTCGGCTACGTCGTCGAAGCGCGTTTTCTCGGAGAGACAATCTCTCCTCCTTCTTACACGCGGCCACTTCGTCGAATCGTTGTTACAATCGGCTACGTCGGCGAACGGCGTTACTCGGAGAGACAAGCGCTCCTCCTGCTTACACTCGGACAATCCTTCGTCGACACCCGTTACGCGGACAATCCCGTTTACCCGGCTACGTTTGCTCGGAGAGACCATGTGCTCCTTCGTACACTCGGACAATACTTCGTCGAACCGCTTCACTGGGACACTCGTGTTTACCCGGCCACGTTGGTGGACGCGTGTGCTCGCAGAGACAATCGCTCCTCCTTTCGTACACTCGGCTACGTCGTCGAATGCGTCTTACTCGGGCGTGTGTGCTGGGAGAGACAATCTACTTTTTCTTACACGCGGCCGCTTTGGTCGTCGCGTGTGCGCGGAGGCACAATGTGTACCTTCTTACATTCGGACAATCCGTCGTCGACGCGTGTGCGCGGAGAGACAATCGCTGCGTACGCGCGAATGCTGGTGCGCATGCTATATGTGTTCTGCACTATACCCGTAGAATGCACGTGCGCAGCTTTTAATAATTAATTTCCCATAAAGCAGAATACTACCCCTTCATAGTATTCATTGAAAGCTACATTTTATATGCATTTAACCGGTACCACCCTGTCCCCATTGTTGTATTAATAGAAGTTGACTACACAGAAAAAGAACAAAACAAGGCAAAAGTAAGCACAAGTAAGCAGAACAGAGCAGAAAAAAAAAAACAAGAAGGTATGGAATAGTGCAAACAAGAAATATATTATGTATATCACATAATGCAGTACAAGTGGTCTAATGTTAGCTTTCGTTATTTCCCATTCATGTGGCCCGTCATCCGAATGTCAGAGCTTTTCCAATAGGGCATCTACATATAACTCCGTATCCTGCATACCCCTGACTTCATCCTAATGTTAACACTGTTGCAATAGGTCATCCACATATAACTCCGTCTGTTGCATAATATTCTCGATTTCGCATTCTTCGATTACGGACGCAAGGATCAGTATCCATGTTTTAGCGGTTAACGGTTGTTTCATGTAAGGTTGCTTATGCAGTTGCGTGCATGGTGCAACTTTCACTCTGAGTATATCGTCTGCGGCCATTACTTTTTCCACTTCTAAGTCTGTGTCAACTGCAGGAACGTCGCCTGTTGCTGGTATGTGCTCTTCGATATTCTCTAACAAATGTTGAAACCACTCCTCTTCACTATATGTATTCATAAGCGCATGTTGCTTTGCAACCCATGCGTTCCATGCATGCAATTTGTTCCTTTCCATGGTTGCGGCTGCCCTGTTCTCACTGGATGCTGCGTCTGTCGCATGTTGTTGATAATATTGTTTCCAATCCGATTTCAATTGCAAAAACCACGGCTGCGTCGTGCACTCCCGCAGAATATCTTTGTTGCGGTCAATCCAGTGCATCCAGTGGGTGCATTCCGACGTCGCGTGCGCGGGGTTGGAACGAGCATTCTGTTGTGAATCTAACTGTATGTTTTCCATACAACTCCATGGATCGGGGTCCTGTTGATGCGGTGGACAAGGGTCCGTTGGTAACTGTATGTATTCCATACAACCCCATGGGTCATCTTCATCAACTGGACATTGATATGGTCCGCAGTCAATCGGTGCATCCCGCGTTGTCGCATCGTCGTTTGGTGAATCGAGGTGCGCAGCACACACCGTGGAACTACTGTGCCCGTTTGCAGCGGGCTCCAAGTCTCGCGCAAACTGCTCCACCAGTATCTGCCAATAGTCCTCTTTCACCGTATCCCACTCGGTCGCTTCACATTCGTTGAGCACTTCTAAATGTAGCTCGATGATGGTGCGCTTATGCACGCGTGGGGGGCGTGCTCTACCGGATATTGACGCAGGTTGCGTAACCATCGTGTAACCGTAAGCGGGTGGCGGTAGTTCGCCGCGTTGTAGATGCTCCAATATTTCTTCGTCGAGTGGCGGTGACGGCACGTCACGAACGGTGCGAAAAGTGCGTCGTCGTTTGGCGAGGTACGCAAAGTACTAAGCAAAAAAAGGGGGGTAAAGAGGAGGGTGCGGACGGTAGGATAACAGGAATGAACGCGGGTGTAGTAGTATATTGGTTCGAACGATCATATATTGGAGCGCGTAGGGAGTTTCTGCGGTATAAACATCCTGCACGTGCGGCATTGCGTGATTGTCGTATATACTTACCTTCCATAGGAAGAACGCAATGACCCCAATACCAACCACCGCGGGAATGATCGCGGGGGTGTACGGGATAAGGTCTCGAGGGTCGAAGGGTTTCGATGGAGGGGGAAGGGTAGGTTGTATTTCACCGGTCGTACTACCTCCTGAACGCGAGGATCCACCCGTAGTAGTACTACCCGTGGAACCTGGTCCTGAAGAACCTGGGCTTTGGTGACCAGTAGAACTCGGACCAGAGGAACCTGCTCCACTTGCCCCACCACCACCAGCTCCAGCACCTGCACCACTGCCACTACCATCTGCCGTTACTTCCCCACCAGAAATACCACCTCCTGAGGGCGCTTCGCCGCTGGTTGGGCCGCCTTCGGAACCCGATTGATTTGGGTTCGGGTTGGGTTTGGGTTTGGGCGGATTGAGAGGAGGGGGGTCATCATTGTCGCCATCGACGATGGCTGCGCCGGAGTCGTCATCCTTCTTGTCACGCGTGTTACCGGCCCCTGGTGTTTCGGTTGATGTTGTTTCTGTTGCTGTTGTTATGGTTGTTGGTGGTGGTTTTGGATCAGATCCCCCTGCTGCTGCTGGTTCTGCTGGTTTTGTTTGATCCGTTGTCTCTTTGTTTGCCCCTGCTTCAGTTCCTATATGGGTACCCCAGGGTAAAGAAGAACATGGATGAAACCGAAGTTATGTTTCGGATGCTTTTGCCCACGGTCGGCCACGCGGTCCGTTGCTGATGGTTTTGCCCCACAGTCGGTCGGCTACACGGTTGAGCACCGGTCCGTGACTCGTGGTCCATCGCGCATCGTTGGCCACGGTGCGAACGCTGGTTGGCTGGTGCCACCCCGGGAAAAGACACTCTCTCTCTCCCACACAACACACACCACAACACACACAGACAGTGTGTGTGTCGACCTGTCTACCTCTCCACGTCGCGCTACCGGGCGCGGCCGACCCATCCCTGTCGCTCTGCCGCTTGCATTCTCATTCGACGTTTGGTTTCTCTCTCTCCGTGTGGTCTCTCCGGAAAGGTTGTGGCTTTTGTTTTTTTTTTTTCAATTTTTCTGTTGTATCTATCGGCTGTTGCACTTGTGTACTCTCTGTTGTGTAGTACTCTACTGTTGGTCCGTCAGCCTATACCTGAACACTCCGATGAGGTAGAAGAGCTTCCGAAACTGACACTTACGCTTACGCGATTCCCATCATGCACACCCTCCTTAGTTTCTGAACTAGGGGAACATGTTGACTTTGTTTCCTTACCTGTATCTTTATCATCCTTCGCCTTAGAATCAGGGTCTGCTGATGATGCTGGTGTCTGATCATCCTTTGCCCTTTTGTCCGGTCCTTGCCCGCTGGCTCCCTTTGGTCCAGCGGGTCTTGCATCACTTTTTGCCTCATCTGGGACTGGATGAGATGGTGACGCAGGCGGGGGTCGTGGTACGTCCTCGGACGCTGTGGCATCTGTCCTTCCTACTCCCCCGGATGGTGCCTGTGATTCAGGTGCCGGTGTACTGCCTGTACCTGAAACCCCTGGTGACTGAACCGCCGGTGGTTGCCCCTTCTCACTACTTTTGTCCTTAGTAGTGCCTTCTGTTGACTTCTTGGCGTCCTCTTTTTTCTCCTTGTCCTTCCCCGCTGAAAATGAAGAAAGATAGAAAGATGAAATAGATAATAAAAAAAAGGACACAAGTGGTAGAAAGAAGGGCCAGGACGGTGTGGTGTGGTACGGTCGGGCCGACTCGGTGACCTCGGTGCACTTGGGGCTAGATGGCAGCAGTACAACTTTTATTTGTCGCCGTCGGTTATCCCTCGTCCGGTGCCGTCGCACCGCGGTTAACCCCGTTCACACACTCATCGCTCATGCGAAGTGCAGTGCTTTTCCGCCCGCGTGCGTGTTGTTGTTCCCCCCCGCGTGTGCGTTGTTGTTGTGGTGATGGCGGCATCCACATTCGGCATTACGGTCAGTATTCGTACGTATTCGTGCTTTCTCCCCATCGGTCCTTACCTGTCGGTCCCTGTGGTGTTTCCTTTGCTGTCGGTGCTACCGGTTTTGCTGGCGCTTGTGTTGCTGCATTGGAGGCGCGTTCCTGTCCGTTCTTGTCATCCTTCTCTGCAATAAAGGGCAAAAATGGGAATTACAAGGGTTAGTATGTACTTTTTGTGTTCTTGCAAGGACACAGGAATGAACGTTGTTCACATATCTGCATCTTGTTGCGCGTTGCTCTTTCCTATTTACGTCGCAATATTCCTTCGTTCTTTTCCCTTTTCTTTTTCCTTCTCGTCCCTTTACTTATCCGTTCTGCTATGTTCTAATCTGTCTAATTCTGCCCCAAGGTGCCCTGCCTTACCTAACTGCGCTTTCTTCACCTGTTCCCTTTTTTCTATGCTGTCCGCTGCCTGTTTCCCGATTTCCGTAAATAGTTCGTTGATTCCTTCCTTCAATTCATGGACTATCGGAGCAATCGGCAGCCCTTGCGTATCCTGTATAGTGCCATTCCCTAGGATTTCGTCTATGCTCCATGCGTCCTGCCAGCGCGTCGTGCACAGTGCATGTCCTTGTACTCTCGTTATTGCCTTTTTGAGTGTACTATTTTGCCCTAACCATTTCTTTACTTCCGCATTTAACTCAAGGTCCCTTATTTGTACATCCGAAGATATGTTTCTACCACATGTTCCCTTCTTTATTAAACCTGCCGGAAAACTTCCTGGCCCAGTGTCCATTTGTTCCATTGAGTACCATGCATAAAATATTCCCCACCTACTCCTGCACACGGATTCGTGTAATACTTGACTGAACATATGTACTATTGCACATAGCAAGTGCGCCCTTATTCTTTCACTGGTGTCATCTTCCCGCTGTCGAGTACTTTCTGTACTAGTCCACCCATTCATGAAAAATAAGGCCCCTACCATCAGTACGCATACAATTTTATCGCCCACCGTTTGTCCTACTCCGCGCACACCGGCGGGGTAGTTCTGGTGCTCCCATCCTTTGTTATCACAATTCGATGCATACAGTGTTATATCGTCGCGCTCCATGTAGTCCACAAATTCCGCCATGACCTCTTTAGTCTTGTTCCACACCATGTCCTACAATGTAAGAGAAACACAGGAAATATGTACATGCGCATGTGTGCTTGAATGCTATGTGCCCCGTTACGCGTCATTCTCTCGTGTACCAATAAAACCGTAGCACTGCACGCGCCGTGTTGCTGTTCTATGCATGTATGTGCCTACCTCATACTGGTCCTGATCCTCAATCCCGGCGGCGAGTACCCATTGCACCAATGCATTCGCCAAATCTACTGTTCCCATATTGTTACCATGCACTGAAATACAGGGTACCGCTCGAAATACCTATACATTACTATTATTCGTATTCTTTTTATATTACATGAATTCGCTGTTGCGTCCACTGGTAGTCGATAATGCTGCTCCTTTGTGTGTGCACGGCTGCGGGCCGTGCAATCAAATATTCCATAAAAAGATAAAAAATGAAGCACACAAACATAGAAGGAAGAATGTACAAAAACACAAAATGTGCATAGGAATTGCAAATACAGGGCACAGGGAAGAAACAGAAAAGAAAACAAAAGAACGAAAAAAAAAAGACAGACAAAAATAGAAAAAGGTACAGTACACTACCGTACACACGCAGCACCGTCATGAATATACACCCCCCCCTTTGTACACCGGTCTCCACTAAACGCCTTCACACACACTGTCGGCTCTGCGTGCGTACAATAAAAAACCGCAGTAATAACAACAGCATCAATGCTTATGCCGTTGTTGCCGCCGTGCCTGCCGCGTCCTTCTTACGCGGCTATTGCGTCGCACCGCGTACTGGAACCGCTGACTCGGCCACGTGTGCTCGGAGAGACAAGCTGTCCTTATACGCGAATGCGTATGCGCATGCTATATTAGTTCTACACTATACCCTTAGAATGCACGTGCGCATGTGTTAATAATTAACTTCACATAAAGGAGAATTCTACTCCTTCATATTATTCATTTAAATCTACATTTTATATGCATTTAACCTCTGCAACCGTATCTGTATAGTCATGTTAAAAGAAGTTGACAAGATAACAACAAACAAAAAAAAACAAAAGCACAAGTAAGCAGAACAGAGCAGAAAAAAAAACAAGAAGGTATAGAATAATGTAAACCAGAAATATATTATGTATATCACATAATGAAGTAAAAGTGTTGTACGATTAGCATGCGTTAGGTCCCATGCATGAGCGCCGTCATCCTAATGTTAACACGTTTGCAATAGGGCATCCAAATATAGCTCCCTATCCTGCATGCTACTCTCGAGCTCGCACTGTTGTATGACTAATGCCAGGATGAGTATCCATATTTTAGCGGTTAACCGTGTTTTCATGTAAGGTTGCTGATGCAGTTGCGACTGCGGTAAATCTCTCACTCTTAGAACATCTTCTGCAGCCATTACTTTTTCCACTTCTAAGTCTTTTTCGACTCCACGTACTTCGCCGTTTTTCGATTCTGTCTCCTCCTCTACATTATTCAACAAATGCTTAAACCACTCCTCCGCGCTGTATGTGTGCAGTTGCCGATGTTGTTGCGCTATCCACTGTCTCCACAAGTCCAGTTTCTTCATCGGCAGGGTTGCCGCTTCACCCAACTCACTGTGCGCGGATACGCCGTTGTCCTCGTTTGCCGGCATGCGCGCACGCAGGTATTGTTTCCATTCCGATTTGATTTCATTGAACCATGTTTGCCCCGTGCACGCCTGGAATAGGTGCTTGTTGCGGTCAATCCAACGCAGCCACGTGGTAGTGTGGGATGTGGTTATGTCTGTGATGTCGGGCTGAGGATGATCACATGTGGGTGTGTCTGTGAC